GCATTTTATTTGAAAGTGCCACGGGATCAACCCACTTTGCTACTTTTAAACAAGCATTTCAGAGTCTCTTCCAGATCCCCAAGCGGCAGACAGGAATCTGGAAGAGGCAAAAGTCCAAATGTTGAGAATGAATAGTTGATATATTAACAGAAGCAGGCATTTCTGTGCAGCCACGATCCTCTCTGCCTGTTCTGCATGGTAAAACCGAAATCCAGTATAATGAGATTTGCTTTGGAGAAAACAGGCACGGGTCATCGTTCTACCTCGTGCTATTTCAGTGTGTCTCAACCTTGGCCCATTCAGATGGGTGGACTTCAACTCCCAGAATTCCCCAGCCAGCTCCCCAAAGTGGTCTGTCCCCCATTCTGAAGATCTCACCAACCTGGCCATTCTTCCCCAACTCCGTCTTTCCGCCTGAACCATGAAATCAATCGCACATTTAGGTTTCTATTCATATTTTGGCCTTGTGTTTACACAAATCGTCTTGTGTTTAAAACACATACGCTAAATAAACGGAGCTTTTTCTAAGCCCACCCTGATTGGGCCCTGTTCTCATTCATTTTTGGGTTTCCAGATGGCCCAACCTCTCTTGCTGAACTCTTCCATCCCGTTCCCACCCACTCATATCACTCGACAAAACAATCTTCCTAAATAACCTTATATCAAAAGGCTGCACAATTTTTCCCCAACCTTTTCTCTAGTTCTTCCTTTATCACCGTCACTGGAACAGAACATGCAATGACCTGCAACTTTTGTATGCGTTGACCACAACCTGTTTCCTGACCTAATGAAATGGAAAAATATGTTTATATTATAGCAAAGACTTCTTTATTCTGCTCCTTCTGCCTTTCAACCACCCGGTGCGTTCCTCTTTTCCCCCCCTCCGGTGCAAAATGCCGTATTTTTTTAGTAAATCCCACTTCAGGCTTTGCTTCTTGAAATAATGCCTTCAACACACATGCTAATCGTTTCACTCTGCTGTAGTCTTCGATCCCAGCCGGGCGTGGAAGTTGCCAATCCGGCTGATCTGGATTGGAGAAAGCTGTTCTCGGGGATCTAATCTCAGGCACGTGTCAGTGAAACGAAGGTGTATCTGTTGTGCGGTTTTATGACGTCTCTTTGCCTGGTTGCAGGAATCTCGGAATTGGCCTCGTTATAAGCTACATGAGGCTCTTCTGCGTGTCCTCCAAAATTATTGGAGCCTGGGCTGGTTCAGAAGTGGGCGAGGGTCACATGGAGCTTTTATATTATACCTATACGTCTTAGGTGTTGCACTAGTGTTTTCACACATTTTCCAACTTAGAACTCCAGGAAACGTTTGCCAGTTTTCTTCCATCGTGGCCTGAAGGGCACCAGGAATTGCGTGAAAAGGACTCGGAGGCTGGGTAGCCCCTCAGCTCTTGCTCTGTTTCTGTCCTGGCAGAATCGGCTTGGCCATTGCACGCCGGCTGGCCCAAGACGGGGCCCATGTGCTGGTGAGTAGCCGCAAGCAGGCCAACGTGGACCGAACAGTGGCCGAGCTGCAGGCCGAGAAACTCAGCGTGTCAGGGTTGGTGTGCCACGTGGGGAAGGCAGAAGACAGGCAGCGCCTCGTGGACACGGTGAGAGCCACGTCCTTGGCGGTGTTTCGTGCACCTCGTATCACTACTCTTGAGAGTAAACAAGGGAGCACTTGACTTGGGGTTTTACACTGCTGACTCTTGAATGCTTTTGATTCTTCCAAAACCTGCTTTTCTGCCGATCTTTTTGTAATATTCAGTTGTGAAATTCCTCCGCCTCTTTTGATATTTATTTCATCCATCCTGACCCTTCAGGGTGACGAATTGCAAGTTTTTAATTACGGGGATCATGGTATCAAGCCTGTTCCAAGTCTTAACCCCGCCGTTCTGGAGTTTATTTTTTTTCTTTAAAAAGGGGGCCCGTGGGGCAAGCAAGATTTGTCATTTTGCCATTGCATTTGGGCAGAGATGCAAGTGTCCTGCAAACTCTCCACACCTCTGACCTGCAGGGTGGGTGATGGGGGTCCGGCTTCTCCCCCTTTGTACAAGAACTGGAAGTGGAGCAGGCAGTGATTCAAGGACTTCGGTCTTGGACCAGTAAGCTTATTGCAAGAATCAAATGGGAAAGCCATTAAGAAGGAATTCTAGTGACTGCCAGGTATAAAACGCAAGCCATGTTTATAGTAAAATCACATTCAGTTCTCGTGCTCCGTTCTCTCGCCCGTGTGAACAGGGCAAGAACAGCTGCCACCCTTGATGTAGCAACAGATTAACCCAGTCTCAGGCTGTTTGCTTTCAGCCTCCCAAAGTTAGTTCTCACAGTGGGGGAGTGGAAGTGGGCCAGTTGCTCTAACAGTCCTGGAGTTCCTTCCAACATTTAGGGTTTCCTAGACGGTCGTTTTGCAGCTTTACTACAGCAGCCCACTTGCACGGGGTAGGAAATCTGAGTCTTGCGCTTGGATTACGCCTCACCATGTGGAAAGACAGAATGCTATGTGGATTTTCTGCCTTGGGCCAACCCCTTGCATCATTGCAACAGAAACTCCCTGGGAATATGGTTCCTGCTGTGCAAGGCCCAGCCTGCAGCAGAGGGCCGGAGCTGGGAATAATTTCCCCAGGTTGCCTTCCCAGCTGGGCTTGTCGGAGGAGCGGGGTGGAATAAAAGTTGGTTGTCATCGCCCGTGCCTGTTGCAAAAGATAACTATTTCCTCCCATTTCCAGAATATTTTTCCGCCGCCTTTGCAGTTTCAGGAACCTAAATGGAGATTTTGTTTCTTGCAGAATGGGCAGATTGGAGGGCTGGCTGTTGTCTCGCCCTCCTGCTCGGAAGATTTAGCTTGATCCGTTTTTTGCCTCCCGTTCCCAAGAAATTAATTTGATCGAGTCAGCAAAGGCAGTGAAGATTTTGGCTTTGCTTGTCTTGTGAAACGGTGGTGAAAACGGGTGGTGCTTTGCATTAGAAGTTGGGCTAGCTTTTAAAGCAGACGATGATGATGTTGAATTCTCACCTCTTGCTCTTAGGCACTTGAGCGCTACGGGGGAATTGATATTTTGGTCACCAACGCAGCCGTGAACCCGTTTTTTGGAAGCATCTTGGATGTCCCGGAAAACGTCTGGGACAAGGTGAGAGCCGGAGAAGAGGACAGACGAGAAACAGACAGCGCCTGGGGTCAGAAGGGCGTGCCCTGGGGCAACCTTAGCCTTGCCAGCTTATCAGAGGAGCGTAATCCAGGCCCTGCTGATCCGTTGGCAGTGCCAAGCCAAACGTCCCCAGGAGGCTGCAGAAATGGACAGGGGAGTCTGTTGGGGACGCATCACATCGCTGAGCCTCCCCTCTTCCGGATGGGCTGGACTTCACTCATCATCCCCAGCCAGCAGGAACCCCTTGCAAAAATCTTTTCCCCCTTTATTTATTTTAGATATTGGATATCAACGTAAAAGCCACCGCCTTGCTGGTCAATCTGGTAGTCCCTCACATGGAGAAGAGGGGGTGAGTGTGTCCCGACAGGGCTATCGTTTTGGTGTATTTTCCTCTTAATTTATATATTGTGTTTCAGTTTGGAGCTGGGGGGGGACCCACTCAACACAGCTTATAGTTTGTCCATATGCTAGGTATGTTTGGGCTAGAAAATCATCAGGTTATTTTCCCCCCCCCC